TAAGGACTTGAAGTCAGGCTTTCTCATCGTGTCATTCCTTTTCATCCCCTTGCTGAACTCTCACCACCTCTTATTTCTTTACCAACCACAACACTCACATCTACCCACTTGCACTCTTATCTCTGCATGGTTCTTCCGAAGGAAATTAAAAGCCCTTGGATCACAGCTCCTCCTCCCTGATTGCTACCTGTCTCTTCTGTCCCTCTCCACTCCTCTGGCCACATGGAGGCTGAGGTTTGACTGTTCACTCTTCTGCTATTCCTCCTCTTTTTCTCTCTGATCTCATCCACTCCAGTTTCCACAAGGCTTTCACGCTGATGATGGCCAACCTTATGGCCAGACTGGACCTGACCTCCTGCCTAACACCCAGAACTGTGGAATTTATGATTCATAAAATGGAAAAATGTTTGCACTAACAGTATACCTTAAATGTTCATTAAAAATATGTTTTTCTTTTGAAGTTAATCCAAGATACTGAGATGGGGGAAGGCAGGGAGAGAGCAATTAGTGGGCCAGGGCTAATCCAATTACACCAGTGGGACAGGCATGCCTGTGGGTGGCCCTGTAATTCCCCTCTCTTAGTATCTCTGTGTAATTCCCTCCTCTTGAGTGTGAGCAAGGCCTATGACTTGCTTCTAACAGAGCAGAGCAAGTGAAAGAATTATACAAATGTGATTAAGATCCTTAATCAGTTGACTAAGTTAAAGCAGATCAGGCTGCATGAGCCTGAGCTAATCAGACGAGCCTGTCAAGAAGGTCTAGTCTTCTCTGAAGCAGGGACTTCACATAGCAGACACTCTTCCATTGCTACCTTTGAAAAAGCAAATCGCTGTGAGTTCTATAGCCACAAGGAGGTGAATTCTGTCTACAACCTGAGGGAGCTTAGAAGTGGATTCTTCCCTACTTGAGCTTCCAGATGTGAACAAAGAGCAGCTCCACCTTCATTTTAGCTTGCTCCTAACTCACATACAATATATGGTTTGTTTGTAGAAGTTTATTCCTCAGCAGATCGCATAGATGCCATGTTGAATAAAGCTGAGATCCTGCATCTTACCCTTACTCTGGGCTCATGTGGCCACTGGCCAAAAGCTACTTATGGCAGTGAGAACAGCACATGAGACAGGCATCAGTAAGACAGAAACTGTGTGTGCATGCCATGACCTCCAGTGTCTCTGGCACTGAGCAGAGGAAGAACACATTGTTCTTCTATGCACCAATGGTTAAAGGTTTTCAACATTAGCAAAAGGAAAATGTGATTGTTGTAGAATATGCTGTTGACTAAATCAATAGTTTATATGCTGAAGGTGGAATAATTTTCTTTTTGTGATTGGAGTCAACCTCTTTTGTTCTAGCAATAAAGGTAATTGCAGAATCGTAGGCTTTCCTGAGGATAATGTTCACTCCGAGGAAGGGTCAATGTTCAGAGATATTTTGTCACCTTGACTTGCAATAGTATTCTAATCAGTTAGCCAGTCCAGTAGGGGTTTTGTTCAAATACACAATGATATTACAAGGGGGAGTTCATGAACATAACATCTGAAGTACACAAATACTTAAGTACATGCAGAACTCTTAATCTTAGTATGACACAGAAGACCTCACTTAAGAGAAAGCCCAAGCCTAAAATTTGGTACCAAGTAAGTCATTGCTGGAGAACTATGTGGCTTAGTGTTAACCTCCTTCTTCTCTGTTTAAATTTCAAGCTTTGCAGTAAGCCACAGCTAAAAAGTTCAAAGCCCATTTGAAATTAAACAGTTCCCCTTCAGATAATGCTTATCGAAAAGGCATATAGTAGGAAGGTATATAAGGTCTGATTTGTTACTGATTCTTTTGAATACTGATGCCAAATTAATGGACAGTGAAAGTAACAGGGACAGTGATTTTTCTGGAAAGTAAGGGGACCACCTGGGGAAGTGGGAGATTTGATCCCTGTAGTATCAGAGGTGGTGGTGATATTACAGATTACCTAATTCTACCCATTCATCTTCTGATCCAAGTTCAGAGATATGAAGATATTAAAATCACCTGCCAATTAAATGGTAGAGAAAGGATTAAAACCACACTCACTAAATTCTGTTCTGATAAATTCCGATACTCTACTGTACTGTGTTCTGCCTTGTTTTCTTCACTGAAAACTTGTTTTCTTCATGGTCTCGTTTTCTTCACTGACACCTCTGAAAAATAATAGATTCCTTGTGACTTTTGGAGACCCGTAGTCATGAAGCTAGCTAGAATTATTGGTTTCACAAACTCAGCTGCTTTACCTTTTGGAATACAATTGTCCATATGCTAGTCTGCCTTGATGACATTAATGACTTAAAAAAGCAGCTCTGGAGTAGCTGTATGCTCAGCCTTAGCTCCCACATCATTTAGCTCCTTGGGGAGAAAACAATGGGACATGGGCCATACTTAATCCTTCACCAATTCATTAGTGGCCTCCTTTCTGGAATCTTGGGAACTTGCTTGTCTTAAAGATCTTTGTTTATTTGACAGAGAGAGATCACAAGTAGGCCGAGAGTCAGGCAGAGAGAGGGGGAAGCAGGCTCCCGGCTGAGCAGGAAGCCCAATTCAGGGCTCGATCCCAGGACTCTAAGATAATGACCTGAGCCGAAGGCAGAGGCTTAACCCACTGAGCCACCCAGGTGTCCCAGGAACTTGCTCATCTTTCAGATGGGGAAACCAAGGTCCAGAAGAGGCTAAAATTCAGCCAAGTCCTTGCCCAGATCCAGCTCCCAAGACCCTGTGCTGATTGAGAGCTGTAAGCACTTACTGGCTAAGTCTGGCTGACGGAGGATAAACGGATTTGGGGTTGCTTGGTGGATGGCTAGAAGCCAAAGTTGGATCTAATGCACTCAGTCTTGGAAATACAAAACAAAACATTGATTGCCTGGTGGTGTAAGAGTGGGGGAGGCTGTTTTCTAAATAAGGTTGAGGCTCTGTGTGCTACAGATGCTGCCAAGTGGACTGAGAAGTACAGTAAGTACTTCCTTGAAGAGAACTTCTTCCACTTTAAAGATGGGAAGCAGTGGTTGGAAGTGTGGTGACTACCTAAATTTAATTCCTGGCTCAGTAACTTACCAGCTATGTGACATAGGGCAAGTTGTTTGATTTCTCCAAGCTTCACTTTCCTGATTTGTAAAATGGGGATATTACTGGTACTTACATAATTGTTAGAACAAAATGAAAAAAAAAATCACTAAGAGAAAACTACATGCTCCACGATGTTAGACATGAGTATATTCCAATTACTAATGAAAAAAACCTCGTCTTACATAATAGTAAATTTCTTGAAATACACCTAACTTTTTGAAATTTAATAGTTTGCCAAGTTAGTTAAGGAATGAGACAGTTCTGTCAGAAGTATATTATTAATCAAAAAAATCTGTTCAAAATATAACACTACATTCAAATATAGTAGTATATACTAGGGGTAAATCTCTAAAATGTTAGTCTTCCTTACTGTTCTTCTTCCCACAGAAAAACCAACCTTGGTAATAAACACTAAACACTAAGCGCAGGTGGAAATACTGTACCTCCCTATTTTTAAAAAAAGAATGTGTGTGTGACATATGTAATTTTGTAAATGTGTCCTCCAGATATTATTTTTCCTTTGGTCTTTTGCCAAAAAAAAAAAGGTATGTAAAACATCCTCAAATATACTTACAGCCACATCATAATAACTGGTCATAATGATTATCTTGTGAGTTTATATAAATATTTCTATCTATATCAAATTATAAGATACCCCAGGACATGAGAGTTATCCTTTTGTTTAAAAACAAAAAGCCCAAAAAACCCAACCAACCAACCTATTGATCCCAGCAAAAACAAAAAACCCACTCTCCAAGGTCTCTAGAAGGTTACTGAACCACAAGTACCAATACTAGTTTCCTCAGAAACCAAGGTATGGTGGTACTGCCCAGTGGAGGGCCAGTGCAAAGATAAACAGTTCTTTAATAAGGTGAAAGTAAGTATTTTGTCACTTATAAGTTTTTGAAAAGAACTGGAAAAATGTGTGTGCAAGTAACTGAAATGCCATCTGTGAAACAGTTACAACCACCAAAATAAGGAAGGCTTATTTTTCTATTTTACTTCAAAAGGAACAAATAAATTGGTCACCAGTCTTTGATAAGTTCTGGATTTGCCACATTTCCAGAAACTGTACAAATGGATAGTTCTTTTGTTTTACTTCAATTATTTATAACATGTATATCACATAAGGCAAATTCACTTCATGCTTTACTTAGTAAAATGGAAAAAAAAGCTTTCTCCAAAATTGGCACTAAAGTTATTAAGTTCTTAATAGCAAGGAGATACATCCAACTAAAAGCAGAATGAACACAGTCATAATACAAATCAAATTAAAATTATTTCCTTTATAGCATCAGCAATGAGTAACTCCAGAGGTAGTATGGCAGAAACGAGCATGGATCCTATCAGGTCACAACCAATGAAGAAATTAATTTATTTTTTTCTGTGGTTTTGACCATAAATTGCTTTACACATTTAGGACCTGAATAAAAACCACTCTCAGTAGAAATCTTGGCCCATTAATTCAACTGACATATCAATTTACAACTTTCAGGACTGCAGATATAAAAAATGTAAAGTATAAAATTATGTAAGTTTGAAATGGTTTTAATCATATTCATTAAAAATATTTACATTTCCCAGTACTTACTTGACAAAACCCCCTTGCAATATAATTCTACTCTAAACTTTTATTTATAAAATGAGGCTCATTTATGAGAGTTCAATGAATGTTATACTGCAAATTGCTTACATTCCGTAAAATATTTTAAGAACTTTTCATATCAAAGGTAGTTTATATTGGATTATCTGAAACCCAATAGTGCCCACAGATGAGCTTCTTATAATTCTTTTCATTAATGCTTGGAAAGCACTGTGAAAATGAAAAGTGCTGTTAAGTGCTATCATCTCCCTTAAGTTTTCACTTATATTGTGTGCACATTGTGAAATAAACACATATGCAGCATGTCCATGTTTTGATATGTATTTTTATTTCCCTGCAGTTTTCACTTATCAAGAACAAGTAACAGGGAAAGTTGTCTGAACTAGTGCATAAACAAACATTCTGAAACACCACTACACGTATCTAATTTACAAGAACCGTATAAAAAAAGTCACTAAAACACTACACTATGAAGGTGTCCAACGCTTACAGTCAGACTTTTTCCAACCCGTTACTTGCCTTGTAGCCACAGGAAAACTCTCCAAAATTGAAAAGACAATCTTGCCACAACCCTCCCCCCCTCCCAACACCTGGGATGGCTCGATATCTAGACTTCCAATAATTATTGCAATGATATGATGCAATACATACCTGGTAAAATATCCTTTATGTGGTGTGTTACAGTTTTAAAGCCAGTTAAAATACGCAGTCTTCAGATAAAATGTAATCCTTGAAAAATTTTCTTATCTGCACAGTTTAAATGTGCTAGATGCATAATTTTTCTTAGTCCGTTTTTCCTGTGTAATTATTTTTTTATAAACTGGTATTATAAATAGAAATATACATTCAAAATATATGGAAAAGTGAGTTACTACATTAAATTTGCATGTATCGATCCATCCCTTTCCCCTGCACAGTAATAGAAAATACTATTTTGCCTTGAACTTCATATTTGACAGTGAAATGCCACTAGTATTTACCAAAAAGTCCATCTAGTCAAATTGTGAAACAAAATGAACCAAGTGAAAACTTTACAGTTCCTTTAGAAAAAAATTACAAGAATTTCATTTCCTAGCTATGAATCTTTAACTTTTTAGACACAAAGTTGGATTTATTTTTACAAGATACAAAATGTAAACATGGCAAAATAAATAGTTAAAACAAGTGATGCAGGATCCCATTTCATGCTCATGATCCCATTAAAGAATTATTTTTTAAAATCCATTCAGTTGCAAATTCAAGTGCAAAAGCATGATGATGAATATCTACTATTCAAGTAACAGAAATAATATTGATGATACAAATAAACTATTTTACAAGGTAGTGATTTTCCCAATTTTACAAAATATACATCATATATCGATTTAATATCCGATATATTGTAGTCCATTTAGGTCCATTGTTACACTCTGTAATCCACAGAGTGCGTCGCCTTTTGCATTCAGCTGGAATATGAATGACTGCACACCATCAGCACAGGTCAAAAGCCACATGTTTTAGGTTATGTCACTTCCATAGCTACTGTTGTCTCTGCTATTCCATTTAAGCCCAATCTTTCAGGTTCATGGTTCTCTCTAAAAAAAGGCCAAGAGTAAAATAAACATAAGTGCTCTCTAGAATATATTAGCAGTATTTACAGACACTTTTTATGTAACTATAACTAAACACGTACTTCCCAAGAGTATTTCCCATTTTTATCATTTCTATACAGGAATGAGGGCAAGTTTTTTTTTCAGCTAAGAAATCCTACTAATTTGTAATTACTTGGTTTTAACTGTTTACTTAGGAAACACAGTAATTTAACATAGTATTTTAGTAGAAACCAATGACAAACTACTCATGAAATGTAACACAGGACCATCCAAGTTTTTTATAATAGATGAACCATATAATGCTCAAAAAGAATAATCATTAGAAGCACAGTATTACTCTTTACATTATACTTTTATAGGTTTAAGGTCATGTAGTTATTAATTCATGCACCTCAACTGTTTTGATGCACTGTTCTCATGTATTAGTATCAGAGAGAAATATAAAAACATACCCTGAAATATATTATCACAGATTTAGCTAATCTCAGAATATTCTCAATTTTATTATATAGAGAAAATAACTTACTTTCCCTTTGTGTGTAATACTGAAGGGAACACAAATTATTATTATTATTTTTTTTTTTTTTATTTATTCATTTGACGGACAGAGATCACAAGTAGTCTGAGAGGCAGGTAGAGAGAGAGAGAGAAGAGGAAGCAGGCTCCCTGCTGAGTAGAGAGCCCGATGCAGGGCTCGATCCCAGGACCCTGGGATCATGACCTGAGCTGAAGGCAGAGGCTTAACCCACTGAGCCACCCAGGCGCCCCGGGAACACAAATTTTGATTTGAAAATAAAAGCTCTTACATGGAAGTAATAACAACTCCTCTAACCTTCCCAACCGTCTATGCTCCAAAAAGTAACAGAAGACTGAAGCTTCTAAAATATTTTTTGATGTATTTCTTGGGGGTTTATTGTTTTTAATTTGATGTGTTTTTCCCCCTTGTTTTTAATACTTTTATATGACTGTCATTTAAGCATCCTACTAGTGACCTCAAACAAAAGAATCTAAGTCAAAGAACTCGACACTAAGCAGATCTCAGTATCTGTTTAAAAAGCAAGTCAATCAATAAACAACTATTGCTTGGGCAGTTAAAAAAAAAAAAGAAGTCTTTTTCCTCCTACAGGATAGCCAGCAGAGAAGGATAGATAGTACTGGAAACAAACACACACCTTGCTATGCTGCTAATGGCACTGCTAGGAGTAACCTTTGGCACTCTGTCCATACTGGCAGCAACTGTGGCAAGTTTTAAGGCTGTTGGCGATGGTGCTGAAGTCCGTGTATTGATATGCACATTGACTGGAGAAACAACACTGACATTATTGAGGTGCACTGCATTTGTCAGGCAGGAATTGTTCATGGGAAGTGTTTGAGGACTGCTTGTGCACAATGCTGGGATTAAGTGGTTTGTAGTGGTGTGGCCAACTGTCCTTACAAGTTGTACAGCGGAAATCCCTGGGCTGGATGATAAAGCCATATTGGTGGAGTATAATGTTTTAGAGGTTCCTGAAGGAGGAAAAGAAAATCATTCAATTTGTATCATGAGACATTAAACTCTCAAAAAACCAGGAGTTTAATAAAAAGTACAAACATCAATATTCTAATTAAATACCATATTAATTTTCCACATAATAACCTCTTCAAAGAGAGCTCCTAATCACAACATACTTACCTGTTACAACCCCAAAGACAGACCTTTCTACTGGCCTGCATAAAAGGGTTTTACAAAGTATTCTGCTGCATCCCTATTTGGAAAGTAGGAAATAGCGGGCCAGAAAGGTCCTCTCTGGAGGTTGAGAGCATGTGGAAATGATAGTTTTGAACTGCATCAGAATTTACACACGCAAGAAGAAATCAGTAAGGAAGGGGCAATCAGGATCATGGGCATATCTAAAAGCAAGTGGAAAAGCCTAGGGTCTGAGTAGTTGTTGAAGGCTGATAAGAACAGCAAGTCTTTGACGACTCAAAGGGTAGTAAGAAGCAGACAAGGATCCAGGGTATTACTGTATTTCAAGAAGAGGAGTCAGAGAAAGCAGTTTGATGGGCTGGTAGGATGGTAAACCCAGTTTCAAACTTACTGAGAGATCAACGTGGATTGTATTTTGCCTTTTTATCACTGCATGGATTAATTCCATGGTGATGGTCAGCAATTAGCTCAATATGTTTTCTTGCATATGAGGGAACTGATAGTACACGGATAAAACTAGGCAGGGTGGAAAAGTCACACAGAAGGTATCTAGTGGGTGCAGGAGGAAACAGGGAGCAGGTGCTATGTGAATTCTAGAAAACATTCAGCTATTCCACCACACATATCCAAAGAAATTCTGAAGAGTCCTGACTGACTTCTTGTACAATGCTTTCACCTTGCATTTAAATAATAACCATATCTCAAATCAGTGAGTTACAACTTTGAGCTAATAAGTACTACACGAAACCACAGGCTTACCTGAAGGTTGGACAACACCGTTTATGTTGTTGTGGCCAGTGTTCTGTTCCTTGGCTACCTCACCACGACTTGGAACAGGTGCACTGACCACTGCGGATGCAGCAAAGTGGGCGCTGGCTGAGTCAAGTGTTTTAGACATACAGTCAGAGGTGCTTGAGCCCTGTAAGATCAACAAAATTACACTTTCAATTTTTCAGATGTGATTAAGAAATGGGCGAATCAAAAGACAGCTGCCTTTTTCATCTTGAACAGTTAGAGGTGTTTTGATTAAGAGATCTAGGACTCCACAGACTATTTTTGGCATATGAAGCAGGGAAATGACTAAAAACTGAGAAGCAACTATTCTGGAGACAGAACTAGGGAATTAAAAACCTCAAACCTTTAATACTCTATTAATTTTTCCAGTGTTAATGAATTCCTTTAAAAATACTCGATAATCTAGATACTATGGACAAAATGAAATCATAGGGACTAACCATCACTTTTATCACAATGTAAAAACATGTCTAGTCTAACCCTGCAGGAGGCTAGTTACCCAAGAGATTCAGAAAAAGCAAACAAAGTTTAATGGCTATTACTCTTGACTCTGTATGAAACTGGCTGGCTGTTAGTAACAGTCAACAGCTCTAGAATGGTGGCCAGTCCCAAATCCAACTGAATGCTAGAAGAATGCTGAGGGGTCCTGATGTCACTGACATTTTCATGTTGGATTCAGGATTTGCAAGGTTAGCATATCTAGTGATCCCGAGGCTGAACTGAACTTCCATCAGCAGATGCTGACCTGAGAGCTCACAGAATACAACGAAGACTAAGCTCATCTCAGTTATTCCTTCAGAATTACTTCTGGAATTATGAAGCAACAAAACTTAAGACCTAAAACACTAGATGTCTTTCTTTCAGATGGCTCAAATTTGAAACAACTTTCCAATTACAGCTTTATTTTTAGTGGCTTAAACAACAGAACCTTATTCTCATACAGTTGTGGAGGCCACGAATTCAAAATAAGTCTTACAGGGTTTATATCAAGGTGCTTGCAGGGTGACTTTCTTCTGGCAATTACAATTTCATAAGTTATTTTTATTCTTATCTCTAGCGTATTCATTTAATCATGCCTACGGAAAGCAACTTCACCTGACAGCAATTTTTTTTTTCAGGGGAATATTATTCAAAGAGACAAGGGGCTATGTTGTTTAGATTTACTGTATAATTCAAGAGAATTACCTCTCAGCACACTGGGCACATCCAAATGGCACTTAAACACACAGTTTAGGAAGGGGGTAGAAAAGTTATATTCTTGGGGAAAAAAAAATATAGGGCGCTTAGGTGGCTCAGTCGGGTTACGTGTCTGCCTTCGGCTCAGGTCATGAACCTAGGGTCCTGGGATCAAGTCCTGCATTGTGCTCCTTGATCAGCGGGGGTCTGCTTTTCCCTCTCCCTCTGCCCCTCCCTCAAACTCATGCTCTCTAATACATAAAAAAAAGAAAAAAGAAAAAAGTTTTGGGGGCTGTAGGGGTGGTGATGATAGTTCTAACAGTATATAATTTCTTCTACAAATTCTCAATAACACTTTAAAACAAAGTAGCTTCTTTCCTAAATTACAAATACCATATTTGATTCTAGTACTTCCCTCATTAAATAGAAAACTATCACGGTTATCCTCTGTGAACGGACTAAAATTGATTATTTTAGTCTGTTCATAAATTCATAAATAAATAAAAATAAAAATTATGTAATTACGAAAGGGGAGGAAAAAAAAATAGAAATACAAGCACGACTGAAAGACAAGTTTACCTGTGCTTTTGGATGTGTCTGCTGTGAGGAATGCTGAGATTGCTGTTTCTGCTGAAGCTGAGCGAGCTGCTGCCTTTGCATTTGAACTAACTGCTGTTGATGTGTCTGAAACTGCTCTTCTGTGATACCCCCTGTTACTGGTAAAGGACATTCATTTCAGAAATAAGTATGTTTTAAAATACTTTTAACAACACAAGCAGAATACAATATAAAATGATTGTGCAAGATGAAAAGCAACTGCAAATCATACATCTGCAAAAACCCAATAAAAAGCAAAAGTGGTTTATGCTAACATCCATGATCTTCTAATGTCACATGCTAAAAAAGTTCCTATAGGTATTTACTGTATAACATAGTTCTAACATGAAGATTCTAACCATTTATTCAGACTTCGTGTCTTTGAGATCACTCTTAGTTCACTATATCTTGGTAACTACAGAATGAGAAAAACTTTCATTTATTAATGCAAACAATTATAATGACTAAGTGATGGCCTTAGTAAGAAAGCAGGACCATCTGCAAGACTGCAAATGATCCTTATTGCTGGTTTCCATTTAGGGCATTTTCTCTGATTACAAATCAGAGTAGAGGACAAAGATGTTCATCTAGTATAATCATTAGTTTTAAGCCAATATAGATCTTCTGCTAAAGTAAGTCTTAAGTTAAACCTAAAATATAAAAATAAAAATCTTAAGATAAACCCAAATATAAATATGGGCTAGAAATCAGAGAATTATTCAGAAAATTAAAGGTAGAATGCATCCTCCGATATAATGTCATACAGTGTTAATAAAAGTTAGATTTCAAGTAAAAATAAGACATCTAAGGGGCGCCTGGGTAGCTCAGTGGGTTAAAGCCTCTGCCTTTGGCTCAGGTCATGATCCCAGGGTCCTGGGATTGATCCCCACATTGGGCTCTATGCTCAGTGGGGAGCCTGTTTCCCCCTCTCTCTGTCTCTGCCTGCCTCTCTGCCTATTTGTGATCTCCGTCTGTCAAATAAATAAATAAAATCTTAAAAAAAAAAAAAGACATCTAAAACTTTTGTTTAAAAGATTAGCTAAGAAAAAGTTGTAATAGGCAACTTTTTTCTACATTTTCATTCACTGGTTTTCAAGCAGATCACTGATGAACTGAGTTGAGGACACAAAGCTATTTCTAGAGAAGTTAGTACATTATCAAAATCAAGAAATTCTAAGTCCCATCAGAATACATCTACTACTAGAGAAATTTTCCTCTATTTTTCATTGCTTTCTTTCCTCTCTCCCAACTATTTCTTTGAATCAGCAAGTATTTACTATCCATGATGATGCAGACTGCTACATTAAGAGTTAAGCGAATACAGGGCAAAATAAACTGTAAGTGTCCTTGTGATAAAGTCCTGTGGTGGTGTTGGAAAGAAAAGATACATCAAAAATACCAACTAATGGGTCAACCTTTAAATGCAATTGAGCAATCAAATCAACAGGACCTATAGGGGTTTAGCTAGAAGACTACACCCTCAACCGAGGTTTCTTAACTACCCCCCTACCCCCAAGTTTTCCATTTGGTACAATTACAAATGAGAAACTTTAAAAAATGTGATGGTATAATATATGTTATGAATAATAGTCTATTATCTATGAAAAGGGAGTTAGGTCCCAGAGATGGACAAAGCATTAGACAGGATTTCATTTCTGTTCTGCAATATTATCATTAAAATCTGTATTGGACTATGAAGGAAAAACAGTTTTTAGATAGCAATTTTATTTTTAGGAGATTAAAAGACCTGGGACTATGAAAGTGCTCACTCTAAAATTTTAATATTACCTGTGTTTTTGAAGTACACATTAGTTATCTTACTGAATTACCAACAAAATCAAATTTTTTCTTTGTCTGCACATGTTAAATTCATTGCAAGTGTTCTATTTTTAAATGAAAAAATTATTTTTAATTCTAAATTTACAATCTTCAAAATCAAATGAAAATGTGAAGTATTCATGAATTTCCAGCTGTTTGAAAACCTTGGGAAAGAGATGAAAAATAGTTTATTAGATAAAAGGCAGAAAGGAAAAATCTTAAGTTAAACCCAAATAAATCTGTTTAAGTCTTAGGTGTATAGTGTGCCAATTCAAATGAAACGGACTTGGAATCTGGTGTTAGCACCGTCTACTCCCTCAGCATTATGTTCACCTAGAACTGAGTTTTTTTGTCGTGGTGAAAGATGGGAGGTTACAGTGATAATGTGAGAAACAAACCAAATTAAGTGAATATACTTTTAAGGCTATTTCAAAACAGAGAGAAAGGAGAACACTGAGAATCTTCTTCTCCAAAATCTTTTAATTCAGAAAATCATGAAAGAGAAATCTCACTAATTCAGAATAACTATGAACCTAAATTAGTACAAAGAACAAAAAGCACTTTTTAATTAAAAAAAAATATATATATATATTACTTGGTTGGTAGTCTATGACTAGCAAAGTACTGCCAACTATAGGTGTTCTACTTGGTTTTTATGAACGGATGATCATTTACATATATATTAAAAAGGTTGTCTCTTTTGGGGAAGAGAGGATATGTCTACTTATTGCCCTTTTCTGTTGAGACCATAAATCTGCTCAGGAACCCCATCCTTTTCCTCAAAGAAAACTCATTAAAATTTCAACAAGACTCAATCCAAATTATTCAAATTAATGATCAGTGTTTCCTAACCTTTATAAACCTAGGCTAACTCTAATGCCAAAAATTTCATCCCTGATCCCATTACTGATTGAGAATCACTGATATAAACTCAATTTAATTCTAAGATTATACTTTAAAAAATGACATTTTTTTCCCCTCTTCCTCTCAAGCTTAGAATGTTACATTCATTCTTGACATCTAATTCTTTACTATCAAGTTTTGTGCTTGAAAACAAGCTGATGTTCCTCATTCAGAATCTTCAGGAGCATTGTTCAGTATTATTTCAGCTCTTTAGACAAAAAGAGCAATTAGTAACTGTGGCACAGAATTGGAACACATACAAAAAACCCTTTCATTTTGTTAGGGTGAATGGAAAGTGGTAAGAAATGTATGGTTTTAATGGCACAGGCACCATAGTGAATTTTCATTGTTACGGCTGACTTAATGGTAGGTAGACTTGATAGGTGGTTTGACTGAAAGCACCATCTCTACTGATTATTCTTCCTTTCATAAATTACTCAGATGCTTTCACAAGAAATTTATTTTGTACACTGACTTGCAGTCATCAAAAGGCAAACATTAAAACACGCCAGGAAAGGTCGCAGTTATAGTGTGAAGAAATCTGTTTAGAAATGAGATAGATAATAAGGGGGACAAGCCTTGGGCGGGGGAGGGGGTTGTAGCGGCAAAAAAGGGAACTGGGAATGAACAACAACAAAAAACCTATCTGCTTCTATTGCTTAGGGCCAAGCCAAGTTCTTTCCACTACTTGCTCGTAAGTTGCTAGCTTAAAACTGAAATTTATGCTGTTCATAAATCTAAGCTACCCCATCCCTACAAGTCCTGTCAGTTTAAAAGTAACCACAAATCTGTTTTGTGAAGGGAGCAGTATTTCATTAAACTAGATAGATGGGAAGTGTCCTTGTATTGGAGTAAGAAGTTTTCCAAATCTCTATGGTTAATACATGCTGAAAGACAGGTATACATATTATATAACTTTCCTCTTTATATATGCAAATATATCATTCTATACACATCAGTGGTGTACTTGCATTTCTAAATATTTTGTGTATATAACCAATAGTCTGTTTTTCACTAAAGCCCCTCAGCTTTCTGGCTGCTGCTTCTTTTTTTTTTTTTTTGGTATCTGGCTCATTACTCATCTTAGATTTATCATTTGCTTTGTTCACTAGATGAATCTCTGTATTTTTTGTTAGAATATTTGTCACCATCCTTGGAATGTTGATTTTGTTTTCAAAAGTCCTAGGCATTCTCATTTCATCTTTCACTTTTCAGGTATGTGGTTTCTGTATGGTGGTCTGCTAGGCTGACCCCTTATTAGCTTTCCCTCCAATGTTCTGACAGTGATCTATCAAAAATATACTCAAGGTATCTCCACTATATTTTACACTGGTTTAATAATTCTAAAGTCCAAGATCACTGTTTCTTAAACGTGGGCCCACAGAAGTATTCTTATGTGGGAAGTCTTCTGGAGTATTTGCTAGCAGAAGAAAAATCTAATGGAAACACATTCTGGATCTTCTGGATGATCATCTCACAACAGAATATAAACATATGATTTTTGTGCTTGTGTGTGCCTTTTTAAAATTATTTTTAATGCAGTGTTTCTCTAAGTGGGCTAATAAAATGTGTATTCTTGGGAAGCTATGGATTTTTTTAAACACTAGCCTAGACCATGTTTTCATAGTTTAATGAAAAACATCTAATATAGTAGTAAAGGTTATCTAAAAGTCAAAATGAATATATTATTATGCAGTACTTCTTCATCTACAGGGTATGTCTTTGTTACATAAGTCTTAATATATGCTTTATTGAAGCAATGCTGACTATATGCACTTTAGTTTTAAAAGAGAGATCTGGGGCTGACAGGGGTGGGGAAGAGAGACAAACTATTTTAAACCTTGTAGTTCTTAGCGAAAGTGAAAGTTCACATAAACCATCAGAGCTACTGCGAAGATAAATCTTTCAATCTGTCAAAGTTGACATTATTTGTCTAGAACTACACACATCTTTATAATGTAACTCTCACAGTTAAAGGCAAACTAATGAACAGACTGCAAAACTGTGGGGGTACAAAGGGTGAAGATGGGAGGTAGGGTCAGGGGTGAAGGGTGAGGGGATGAAGAATGAGGAACAAATCAAATGTAAGAATAAAGAAAATAAAGACCCATTTAAGGGGCATCTGGTTGGCTCAGTTGGTAGAGTGTGTGATTCCTGATCTGAGGGTTATAGGTTTGAGTCCCACATTGGGTGTAGAGATTGCTTAAAAAATAAAATAAAATCTTTAAAGACCTATTTTAACTTCTGATACCCAACCTAAGTAGTTACAACTGAAATTTTAGTATTATTTCCTTGAGCAATCTAACTAAAATCTTTTAGTTCCTGAAATCGAACCTATTTTTCACGCCTCTGGGAGCAACCATAAGTCAAAAACGAAACCTTGTCAGTACCTTGGCTAGTTGTGAAAATGTAGTTTTACCTATTCAAAGACTTTCATATTTGCAAACATTTTGTAGCAACTTAAGAATGAAAAAGAAATGGACAAAAATTAAAAAATCAAGAATTTCTCCTGGAAAACTGTCCATAATACTGATGTACTTACAAATTGGTAATGTTAAGATATTTGCAGCTGGTCAAAAGGCTACTAATATCTATTCAATATACGAAGACAAATGGGAGGAAAAAAATGCTCATTGCATCCATGTGTTAGTCAAAACCAAGGTTAAATTTAAGTTAATCCAGCTCTTCAAGTCTGAAACAGCAAAGATTCATTCATTCATTCAAAAGTAGTCTCTACACCCAACATGGAGCTTGAACTCACAACCCTGAGATCAAGAGTCACATTTTCTACCAACTGAAACTGCCAGGTGCCCCAGGCAAAACTACTTTAAGATGTGCAGTCCATTTTCTTAAGTTTTGGATTTAAGAACAGTATCTCAAATGAATAAATACTGCAATTTCGAATGACTAAAAACTTTATCATCTATTATATAAAGAATGTAATACTTGCCATGTGCTGTAAGCTCCTTCAAAGGATTATTGTCTTGTAAAACTACAACTTTCAAACACTTAACATAGTGCTTTGTATATTAATAATTCCAAATAATTATGTGTGAAATTAGTTTTCCTTGGTTACTCACTTGCCATGTTCAGCACAATCTATCTTTCCTTTCTGTCCTGCTATTCTTTGAGAAGACTTTTTCAACTAAGGAAACAGATCTTTAGGGATGCCTGGGTGGCTCAGTTGGTTAAGTGGCTGCCTTCGGCTCAGGTCATGATCCCAGCGTCCTGGGATCGAGTCCCACATCGGGCTCCTTGCTCAGCGGGGAGCCTGCTTCTCCCTCTGCCTCTGCCTACCACTCTGTCTGCCTGTGCTCATGCTCTCTCTCTCTCTCTCTAACAAATAAATAAATAAAATATTAAAAAAAAAAAGAAAACAGATCTTTATTAATAGTTAATAAGACGTGTCTTTGCTTTAAAATGGAGTCTTCAGTTTTAGTTCTTCTAATACCTAGGACATACATTTCAATTTAAGTCCTTTAAGTATGATATCACAAATAACAATCAGAATATATTTAGGACATAGGAAATATTAACTGGGTTATTAACAAAATAAAATTTTTTGCCAGTAACTTTCAAGTATTTTTTAAGAACTAAAACACTTGTGATATAAATATTACTGACAAGTGTGAGATTTCTATTTCTGATTAAACCCTTTATTTGTTGTGATTTCCCACCTGTGAAACAGAAAATTCAGTTCTTGTAATTTGTCTAGCTCAGTGATACACTCTGTAAGGTAAAAATATGGTCCTGTCTTAGTCTTTTTACTCTTAAAGACAAACACCCTCTCACGACCAAGTCCACCAAGAATATGCAGAAGGCAACAGTATTAATAAAGGCCTAAAGATTAAAAGAATTAAAAGAAATAAAAAACAGACGAGTGTTCAATTCTTTCGTCTATGTCCATCAAACATAAAATTACCAACTTTCTAAAAACTCCTACATCCTTCTCTTTAAGTTGATGAAGGAATTCTATCAGTATTTACTGAACTGTAGTGGAATCCACTTAAATTACCTAACCAGAACTGAAAGGACTATGTAATGAACAGAACTGGTACAAATGGGTACTTAAAATTGTTATGGCTTTTCAATTGTTTAGAAAATGCTGTGCCATCATGCATTTATGTACCTGTGTCTAGTATTTCAAAACAAATGCATATATATATATATATATATATATATATATATATATAAAACGTGTGGCCTCGATAACTACTAGAGGATCACAGCTAAGAAGGAAAACTTCAAACAAACTTCCTTTACTCTAGTAACAGAATTAAATATATATCTGAAAATTTCTATTTAAAAACTAATTCTAGGGGCGCCTGAGTGGCTCAGTAGGTTAAGCCACCTTCGGCTCAGGTCATGATCCCAGAGTACTGGGATCAAGTACTACATTGGGCTCCTTGTTCAGCAGGGAGCCTGCTTCCCTCTTTGCCTGCACTCCCCGATTGTGCTCTCTGTCAAATAAGTAAATAAAATCTTTAACAAAACAAAACAAAACAAAACAAAAAAACAGAACACTGATTCTAATGCAGCTTAGTTTTTGCGTAAGTCTTGAAATTTGTCAAGAAGGAAATGGTACTGTGTTGAGAATACTAAAAAATTAAGACAGAAAATATTATACAGACCAAAAAGACTATTTTTTTTAATGGTAGGGGAAAGGTAAAAATTAAAAAAATTTACTGTCTATGACGTTAACATCACATATTTGTCACTTAAGTTACCTGAAAGGTGCATGTGCGCCTAAGATACTTCAAATGCTTATATTATGCTGATGTATTTTGACAGTGTCATAAAATTCTAGAGCCAATTATTATGGAATTATTTAAGTTACAGTAAGTTATATTCTGGATCTATACATATAGAGTAATGATGACACAATAACATACACAACCTATGCATATTTTCTGGGAAAGAGTCAAGTCAAATCCTTCTGGAGTTTACTGACAATGTACAATAGAAAGCTGCAAATATCTGGTCATACTCATGTTGAGATGAAAAGTAACATCTTTTTTTGGTATGGTACACACTGTTAGAGAAGAAACTCAATCTACTATCAAATCTAATTATAAATGCCTGTATTGAGATATTTTTAAACTCCCCTTTTGGCAAAAATTATTTTGAGTAATTTTTGGTACAGGAATTCTGGTTCAGTTAAATAATTTGAACACTGTCATGGGGCTGGCGGAAAAAAATAATCTGACATAATATTCATCAACTTCCTATTACCTTTAGATTTCTAAGAAGCTTACCACCACAAATCATATTCAGTATTTATCCATTTCAGCTTTAAAACCTCATTAAACTTCACAGATCAATGAACTTTATATAATGGGATACCATTTTCCTTGCCTAAGTTTGCTTAGAGAAAAGTAACTAACTAATTTGGAGGAACAACATGTAAACCTTTAATCACTCAACAAATTCAATTTTCTATTATAATCTTTAAACAGATAAATGTCTAGGTCAAGTTTAAAAATAAGCAGTCCAGTAACAGAAAAAGACTGAACATGACTGAGACCAAATTTAAAAACTAAAACGCAGGCGCCTGGGTGGCTCAGTGGGTTAATTAAGGCATCTGCCTTTGGCTCAGGTCATGATCCCAGGGTCCTGGTATCAAGCCCCACGTCCGGCTCTCTGCTCAGCGGGGAGCCTGCTTCCTCCTCTTTCTCTCTGCCTGCCTCTGCCTACTTGTGATTTCTGTCAAATAAATAAATAAAATCTTTAAAAAAAACCCAAAAAACTGAAACGATTTAAAACCACTTTAAAGAGGCTTAACATAATTTCACATAGTAAAACGCACCATCCAGGAAGTAATTTAGAAATACGTATGTTTTCTGGAAAGAAAGGGTATCATCAGTGTAAGTCAAGTCACATCTAGTTTTGTCTGTGGACACCATGCACTGCTTGTACATATCATAAGGATATTAAAAATTATACCAACTTGTATAAATGAGATAGAGGAAAACAAATCAAAATTATATTTTAGATTATCTAGATAATATACATTATTTACAACATGCATGTCATAAAAATATTATTTGGGCACAGTGTTTGTTAAAGTAAAAAATGCTCTCAGAGGTAAGCTACCAAATAAAATTATAACTATTCATGGGGAGCTTCTTAAAAAAATAATTTTTCAGAAACAAAGAATTCAGTGGTACTCCTAGGAGCAATGCCTACATTTCAGCAAAGCTAATATACAAAAAAGGGAAACTTTCTTTAACAAGTGCACACGATGGCTATGAAAATCTGGTAGCAGCTTATAACTCTTTTGCCCATAGGGAACTTCCTATGCATTCTGCCTACACATTTACCATACCAGGCACACATGTTCAAAATATAAGTCAGGGTTTTACAGGTTTTAGGACATTGTTTAAAATGTGAAGCACAGTAATAGAGTTTAGCTTCTTAGGCTGGGAAAAAACTGTAGTAGGTTAAGGTAAAAAATTCCTTTCTTCAGTGGGATTATGAAAATAAACCTTCAAAATTTACCCTGAGCACTTGGCACGTATTTAGTGGATAATGAAAATTAAGGAGAAAAAAAGAGCAGGATGCATTTTAATAAAATGAGAGCTTACCTGATATGCCATTCTTGCTGGTGTTCAATAAAGCTACAGATGCTGCAGAAACTCTTTTATTGTTCACAGTCTGCCCTGATTTTCTTGAGGTACATTCTTCACTATCACTGTCCTGTAAATTTAGTAGCCTTGGCTGGAAACACTGTAGTCGACATGATCTGATATTGCTTAGTATTTCAGAAAGGGACAGTCTATTTTCACAATGTTTACTGGAAGCATTGGTCCGAGTGAAATTAGAAGAAAAGTCTATAGTTTGGGAAGAGCTTGAAAAACCATTCAGCATTTCAGGGTCTATCTGTTTCAGGACTGGGTCATGTTCTGTGGATATTCGGTCCATAATGATCCTGAAAAACAATATAAAACCAAATATTATCTGGAAGAACTTAATAACATTTTCTCTATATCTTTCCTTCCAGCTTACAAACAAAAACCAGGCCAAAACAAATAGTTTACCTTCCACCTCTGCCAATTCGCCTCCTTGCAAATCCTATACATCTTCTTGGGACTGTGAGTGTTGTAAGGCAATGCCTGTATCTCAACTTATCCAAATCTGCCAATTCTGAATTTTCAAATGAGTGGTTAGCTTGGTCCAAACGAGGCTGAAAAGAAAACAAAAATTAAAACTCACGAAGAAACTCTGAAATGAAGAGAAGTCAAATCATGCTAAAAATAAAGTACAGCATTAGCAGATCAATTAAAATTTAGTTATGAAACTGTAAAATTAGGGTTTAAGTGATATTAACAAGATAAAATTTTATAAAACTGAATGAAAAGTTCACTCACCAAAATGACTCAAATTGAATTTAGTATTTTAGGGTAGAATATATTTTAGAAGAAACAGGTCTTTAAAGAAAAATATGCATTTAATATCTATGTAGAAAAGTAGATATGGAGGCAGCTGAGTGGCTCAGTTGGTTAAGACTCTGCCTTCCACTCAGGTCATGATCTCAGAGTCCCCACAGTGGGCTCTCTGCTCAGCAGGGAGCCTGCTCCCCCCACGCCCCGCCTGCCTCTCTGCCTACTTGGGATCTCTGTCCATCAAATAAATAAAATCTTAAGGAAAAAAAAAAAGTAGAGATAGTAAAGTTTGTAATTCATAGGCTTCCTACTGAGAGAAGTCAGAAGGAAAATTTTTTGAACCAAAAATGGGTCAGGCTGACACTTCTTTATTTTTCTGGGCCTTAACACTTCTCTACCTTTTAATAATAATTTTCTCGCTCTCTCATTAGTGTAACTTGCGAATAACTTTCTACTTCTTCTACACTAAACACAAACATGCACACACTCTGAAAGGCTGGAAGTGTAGATGTTACCATAAATGAAGCAAGACAAATGGTCTCTGCAAGTCATATCTGAAAGCTATCCGTGTAACTCTATAATTAGCCATACCTTATCTGAAAACCTGAGCATTTGGGAGTGAGGGTCATTGATGATGTAATGCTGTACCAAAACTTGACTTAATAGCACAAAGCAATTTCTAAGTGTGTCAAAATGTTTGAATATAATTATTATATAAGATATTGCTATGAGGAAAGTCTAAAAACGATTCTTTTATGTTTGATCCTTAGTTGGTATAATATATGCACAAGATGGACTTGCCTTAAATAAATTTTAATAAGCAGCAACAATCAAAATTTTGGGGCATCTGCGTGGCTCAGTTGGTTAAGTGGCCAACTTTTGATTTTGGCTCAGGTCACGATCTTAGGGTCATGGGATCGAGGCCCTCATCGGGCTCTGCGCTGAGCAGGGCGTCTGCTTCAGGATTCTCTCTCCCTTTGCCCCTCCCTGACTGCCCGCAGGGGCACACACACACTTTCTCTTTCAAATAAATAAATAAATCTTAAAACGAAGCTACAATTAAAGCCTAAAGTAAAACTAAATCGCTAAAATTTGGAATTTTAAATTATTAATTTCTAAGTAAAGGATTCTGATATTTTTAATATCTTCTGAAAGGACTCAGTACCTCTGAGCATCTTTTACTGGTATGTGTATAGGGGATAGTAAATAAAAAATGCTGATGGACTTCCCGTTTTCACATTAAGACTAAATTACCTTGACAAGAGTTACCTATTAATTCCAGTCCACAAAAACACTATAAAACCAAAGTTCTTACAGCATAATACTGGCATCCTGCTCGCCTCCTGAAAGCACAGGGACCATCGGGATCATTTTCTTCTTCAGGTTCTGATACTGGGGATGGTACCTAGAAAAAAGAGGCATGATACATTCCATTTAGGAATTCAAAAGCCAACAACAGATCAATTTTTGTAATGGTCTAAAATCAGAATCTGACCACAAACAGTGAATCACTCCTATAGTTCATATAGCAGGCAGTAAATTCTCCCAAATAAAGACTAGCACAGATATTCTATGGTTAAACATGATTACTTGGGATGGATTAGCTCTTGCAGGAAAGTCAACACGGTATTGTGTAATTGCTTCTGAATATGTAAGTACCTAAGAATTAGTAGTTTTTAACATATTCCATTTATATTTTGTAAATAATATGCGGCCATACATTCTTCATTTTTGACAGTTATGCTTTACCCACAGGTAGATGTATTTTTATGCAGTAACTTTCTCTCTCTGTTATAAAGCCAAAAACTAGGAAGCAAAAAATGGCTTATGAATAGTGCTCCCCTCAAAGACACTACAGGTCATATATTTTTTCTCAAAGAGAATTCCTTATTTCCCTACTCATTTAAAAAAAAAAAAAAAATCACTTCTTAAAAAAGTTTTTATTTGAATACCAGTTAGTTAACATAAAGTGTAATATTAGTTTCAAGCACACAGTTTAGTAAAATCACTTTTTAAACTTGGCAGATCAGAAGCAGAAAATTAGAAGAGGAAAGGAGACTTCCCTCTTGCAGACTAGCTGCAGAGAGAAGTGATAAGCCCACAACCTGACAGCAAAAGAAAAAATAAAGACTTCCAAAAAGCTGTCATATAATTAAAAGGTATTCTGCCTAGAACCTTGTGATCTTAGATTTAAATATCCCTATATAATGTGAGTGGACCCCTGGGGCAACACTGATCCATTAGAACAAACTTTATAAATGTCATAAAAATGGATTAAATGATATACAAATATACTCTAATACAGCAGAGAAATAATACGGTTTAGATAAACTTCTATCCGTGATGGTTAAAATAAAAAAAAAAAAGTTTTGGTACTTAAGTTTCAGCAGTCTCGTAATTTCACTTTGCAGTACATCTCTTTTTCTGACAACGCTGGCTCAACCATATTTACTTGCAAATTTTGAACCTCACAAATCCCTCTCTTCCTATTTTGAGAGGAAAAATGTGTCTCCACATTATTTCCAAACTGTGGTAATTACCACTGAGCAGGGTCATCCAGGGGAGAAAGGCATTTGTTTGAGGTTCCAATATACCTCCACCAACCCTAAGGGGGAGACATAGAAACAGTAAGCTGGGGCTGATTCTTCTTCCCAGGGAAAAAAGCCCCAAACCTGAAATTTGAAAGGAAATCTCAAATGTGAATTTTATATTTTGGTTCCTTTGCATATTATCTACCTCTTCTAAACTACACACAGGGAAGGATTACAAAGTCTTAAAAATTTTTTGCATAGAGCATACCACCCCTTTGTCCCCACCACCATTCCCCAGGACTGGATTCCAGAATTTGGTCTGAGACATAGGAAGAGAGAGTTGATATTCGGAGAATCAGAAGTGTGACTAAGAAAAGATAGGATTTTTAATTCTGCTCTGCTGCAAATCAGTTGGGTAAGTCTTAAGCTAAAATGTTTGTTCTCTTAAGGCTCCCTATTCCTTTCTTCCTTGTTTACTGGGCAAAGAAGAAAACATATGACTATTTTAATGATCTTTTTAGAAATAAAATCCTGATTTTATAAAAGCTCCATCCTAAAATAGCTGCTCACTGAATAATGTCCAATTATGTAGGTAAATACTTTTTAGTAACAAGAGGATATCATTATAAAAATTAATGAGGGTTTTTAAAGATCTAGTAAAAGGACGGAGAGGAACCTAAAAGTTTCAAAACATAATCGAAATTTTGAAATTTTCATGTGGGTCTGAGGGCTGGGTATGATATGAATAAACATGAGAATTCAGAACAGAAACAAAGGTCCCTTAAATGCATGAGGAATGTATGATTAGCATGTGAGTGTGCCCCACCATTAACGTGATGGACTTATTACAGCAAGAAAGGAAAAGTTTCTAGAGGTCATAATATCACATGTGTCATTCTTAAACGGCTGGGTGTCTAAAGCAAAACTACGTAAGCTCTTTTGAGTACTACCAACATAAGGCTATTACTGATACATAATAAACCAGGTCATATTCTTATTTAAAATTCTTTAATAACGTCCCAGTATATTTAATGTAGTAGAAGCCATCTGCCACCCGACTACTACTCCAAGCATCATTCTGCTCAAACTCTCTTCTCCTTTGCGTATGCTTCAGCAATGTTTTCACTCATATGCTGTTCTCCCTACCTAGAGCCCCTCCCTACTCTTTCTATATGGAAAACCACTTCCTCATTCCTTCAAAATGGCTATGTCCTATGGCTCTTCAAAGCACTGAGTCTAACTGGATGATCCTTTGACAAAAGTAACAAATTATTTCCTTAAGTGCTTTTCAAGAGTGTACTAAATTTAACATACCTTTGTGCATTTGTTACAATCCAGGTAAATACTAAAATATTATCTATAAATTAGTGATAGAAGAATAAAAAAATACATAATCTACTCAAAGGGGACACATTTTACACTTTCATGTAAATTCTAGATTTTAAATAGTTACAACCATAAACTGTTTTATAGACAATCTTGCTTCCAGACATATATGTAATGTTGGTTTTAAAATTTTTTCTTTTAGAGCAATGAAGCAAAAGTGTTAAAATATAATAGTATGTATTTGTTATATAGCATTCTCTTTAGGTTGCCTATACCATATAGCAAAGAAAAAAGAAAAGGGTATTGCTAGACAAGGTGCTAAACTATAAATATATGTTTATCTTTTAAAATTGATCTTTTAATATACAAAGGTCTTGTTTTAAAAATAGCACTTGTGAATGTAAAATTAAGATTTTTAAAATATATAGCAAACACTTTGCTATAAACTGTTGCAATATAAACCAAAGAACTACCTTCATAATTTACAACTTGAATCAGTTCTTCTTAATCTTTAAAATTAAATGGTTATTGCCAAACAAAGCAGCAAAATTTACATTAGAAGTTATAAAATAAAATGCTGGTGGAATATAGTTTTTAAAAAAAGGGAATTATTATTGGTGAATATTTACAATTATGTATTAACTATCTTAAAATATTGATAATCCATTTCTAATAGTTTTTTTTTTTTTTTAAAGATTTTATTTTTTTGACAGAGAGAGACACAGTGAGAGAGGAAACACAACAGAGAGAGTGGGACTCTGGGATCATGACTTGAGCTGAAGGCAGACGCTTAATGACTGAGCCACCCAGGCGCCCCTCTAATAGTCTACTTTAAATATAGGGGGAAAGAATAGTAATGTTCCCTTTTATAAAAGGTAAAATTGAAAACCACCTAAATGCTCCACAGAGAATAAATTCTACCCAACTGACAGAAAATAATGGAAAGTAAATATCATTTCAATAGCCACATAAATAATGTGGAAAATGTATATATGCTATATAACATTAGGTGAAGAAAATAAGAATCAAAACTAAGAGGTCAATCATGTTTTAAAATATAGCAATATAAAAGACTAAAAGGAAATGTCTTTAAAATAGTTTTAAAACAAGCACCTGTGGAAATTCATCTTCATCTGAGCTGTGAAAGTCATATTGCTTAATATCACTCTTATTGATCACAGGCAATGTCTCAGGAGTGGGTTGCTGAGATGTTATCAAAGCCTCTGCTTTAGGCTTCTTTGGGTACTTCTTCTTTTGACGAACCACATCAGAAGCCTCTTCTTTCAAAGACAAATGATGAGGGTGCTGTTTACATGACGATTTTTCCCCCAAAAGGAAGAAATGAAAATCATTTTAGAAATCATGAAAAACTATACTGCTCTTTGAAAAACATACATTTTTACCCAGGAGGTGATTTTATTTACTGCTTTTAGTATGCAAAAATTATGTGATCATAAATTGAAAAATGTTTTACTTTTTGCAAGTTGTGATTAAAAATCATAATGGTACTTAATTTGTTTTTTATATTGTTATTTATACTTAAACTAAGATGTTAGTGATTTTTAATAATTTCTCTATTATTATGCAAGCATTTAAAAGTACTTAAATTCAATTTTATTTAAATCCACTGTATTAATGATAATGAACTTTATTTTTCAAATAACTTGAATTAGATTATAAATTCATTAATTTATTTCTACACTTATTTCCAATCTACAGCTAGTAATTTTTTTGAGGAAAAATAAGTTTATTAACTAGAAAAAAAAACTTTTACTTTTTAGAATGCATAATTACTGCCTTCACTGAACAATAATCAAACTGTTCTCAAGTACCCCAGAATTCTGTAACAGCACTTGAGAGGCCATCTGGCAAGAAACTGACTGATGGGGTAGGTTTCCAGCCTCCCTTGCTCTCCACTCTTCAGCGGAGAAGTTCTGTTTCTATGCATTTTAACCTAACAGTATTCCATTTAATAAGTAATGATTCACTACTTAAAAAGCTTGAAAATGATTATTCTAAGCACCAAAGTACAAGCAATATGAAAGTGAAAAATTATTTAAGAAGTTCTACATTTTCCACGTAGTCCACATTTTTGTTAAAACTACTGCAGGGTCAAAAATGGTATACACAATGAAAGTGCTGCTTAAATAGCAAATTATTTAGTGATATAGCTAAGTCTCATACAATGGATATAGCTAAGACATCAAAAAGAAAACTCCTACCTCTTAGAAACTGCCTATATTTTAAGGTAGGATGTGCGACCAAGCAAATACAGTTATCTCTGTATAATGAGGTAGAGCAACAATGGATGCAACCGTATCTCTAACACTAGTAAACAGGGTGAGTGTTTATTCTTACAGATAATCTAAAATAGGAATCAATATATAATAAAAGCTGATTCTGTCAGTAATTTCAGGTTAAGATTTCATATTCTATGCCTATTAATCATATACCTTGAAAAAGCATTAGTTTATATAAAATGGATTTAAAAAAATAACTTAGAAAATTACATTTATTGCACTGGTAAATTTTTGGCTATAGAGGCAAGTGTGATTAAAAAAGAATCAGGTAGGTGGGCTAGATGCCTGTGATGAATAAGAAAGAACTTTGGTGTTTAAATTGACATCAGTTGAATAAAAGGAGGAGTCTTCCTGCTCCACATTCTTCTTTGACCTTTAAGAATGAACCCATGAAAAGTAAGAATTGTGTACATTTTTTAAAAGATGAATTTTCCACAAACACCCTATGTTGCTTTTTAAATCCTGCTACATAGAAAGCTCTATCTAAATACTCAAGTCAATACTTTTTTCTTATTTAAAACTAAACTCCTTAAAGTTTTATTAATTTTTATTATTTCTTAATTGAATACTTTAATTAATGTACCACATGAATCCTGAATAAATAAAATTCTTCAAAGTCTAAGAGACTAAAATAATCATGGAGTCTAGATCTTTCTATTAGGAAGAAAACAGGATTTGAATGTTACAGGACTTCTTCAAATCACTCCAACTAGATAGCAGTTGATAAATGCTGGTTCTGGAAGTGATGATGAAAGTAAGAGTAACTTTCAATAGTCTCAATGAAGAAAACTTTAATCTTAAGATTTTGATGCCTGCCACTCCAACACAGGATTTGTTAAAGCTAGTGATAAAAAGTAGACTTTAGTTTACCCATATTCTGTAGGGAAGCAGATGGCATAGTGAAAAACACACGGTTTTTTGTTGTTAGACCTGGACCTAAACCTTGAATCAGCCCCTTATCAGCTATACGATCTAGAAGTCATACCGGGTTAAAATCTGTGTCAAAGGGCTGCTGTAAGGATTAATGAGTTAATTTGTACGTAAAAATTCCTAGCAAGTGCTTGGCAAATAGTAAAAACAACGCATGTTAATTATGTTTTCCCTTAACCAATATAAGACAACTGATGAAACCAGTAATTGTCTGATCAATATTACCATATGGGCTTCTCCCCAGAGGATATTCACCTTAGTTTTACATTCTTGGACTTTGTGATGATTTCCATTATGAAGAGTTGCTGGAGTGGCATATAACTCTTTGTCTGATCTATTGATTTTCACTTCATTAAGGATTTCACCACCATAGTCTCCCAAATGATATCTTGGAAAGGTAACAAAATATAAGAAAATGTTTTATAGTTTAAAAATAAAAACAATGATATTGCAATGAACTGGAACACAACTAATCAAATAGAATCAACAATTAATCAGATTATTCTTAAAAGAGAAAACTTACAGGAATAAAGCAGCTCATATTTGGGATTTAGCAAAAACCAACCAACCAAAAAAACCCAAGGAATCTCTGAAGGAATGCAAAAGACAAATTTCTCACATATTTAATATTTTCAAACACTGGGAAATGATGTTTAGAATGCTTACCTCAGGAATCACACAAAACTGTTAGGTTTGATATAGTTTATTTAACTATATAGGAAAATGACTATTATATTAGAGACACATTTTTTTTTTAAAGATTTATCCATTCTAAAGATAGAGTGCGTGCAGGAAGGGGGAGCACAGAGGCAAAAGCAGAGAGAATCTCCAGCAGACTCCCTGTTGAACATGGAGTCCTTTGCTGAGGGGGGCTTGATCCTAGGACCCTGAGATTATGACCCGAGCTGAAATTAAGAGCTGGATGCCTGAGCTACCCAGGTGCTCCATGGAGAACACATTGTTAAAATGGACTGAAACAAAAAATGCTTACTACCTAGTAAGAAAACAAAATCATCTAAGCATTCATTTCCCTCAAATTTTAAAGGAAACTTAAATAAAAAGAATGGTCAAAATGACCCCCAGGTTCTTTTCTAAATAAAATTCAATGATTCTGAAAAAAAAAAAAAAAATTAAGTGTCTTAGAGGAGCTATACATATTACACACAAATTTGAAATCCAAACTGATAATCTAGGTTTGTTTTTTTTTTTAAATAGTAACACATGAATTCTTCAAAAAATGTAGAATTTGAGAATCTACTCCAATTGTTTTAAAGCTAGGCAAAAAACAAAACATACCATTTGGTTATATTTTACCCAACATCTGGCTAAAGCTGTGATTAGTATAGAACAGTAGCAACGTTACCTTTTCTCCACAACTTCTAAGGTTAAGTGCAATAGTTCTCGTTTTGTTTTCTCTCTTCTCTTAATCATTTCCAAAATTGTTATGGCTCTACTAAACTCTCGTCTCAACTTCAACATCTTTTCATAAGAGGCTTCATCATTCTTACGATTCTATTGAAAATAAATTTTAGAAGAATAAACAATTAATCCAAATATCCACATTTCCATTTTCATTCAACAAAATCTTATGAGATCCAAGTATGTTCCATAAAAGCAAAATGTTAAAAATGTTAAATGTAAAAAATCATCTTAAACAGCAACTACATAAGAGAACCTATCTATTTAACTCTGAAAATAGAAGTATAAGCAAATAGCTCTCAAATATTAAAAAAAAAAATGTTGCCCATTGTTGAAAAGATGGAATAACAGAAGGGATCATTCCAATGTAAGTAAAATTTTAAGTCGGCCTGAAACAAAACGTAGTGTACCAGAAAATGTAGTCCATTCAATTTGATGCAAGGTGTTTTCCAGTGACAGAGAGAAACAGTTCTGTCAAATCAAGGTTACCTAAAAATAGCCAAAATGGGTCTCTATCCATCCATCCAGCTCTGTAATTGTGGGCTGGAAGGTTCAATATACCACAATATAAACACTTACCTTGACAAGCAAAACCACTCAGAAACTCAAGATATAAAACTGAAAGTTGGATATAAAGCGTCTCAAGAAATGTAATTATTATGTTTCAAAGTAATTAACACCTCTCATTGCAGGGCAAAAACCAAGTGAAAACTGAATTTTGGAGTATTGTTAAAAAGTTCCTTCTTCTTGGGCGCCTGGGTGGCTCAGTGGGTTAAGCCTCTGCCTTCGGCTCAGGTCATGATCTCAGGGTCCTGGGATCGAGGCCCGCATCGGGCTCTCTGCTCAGCGGGGAGCCTGCTTTCTCCTCTCTCTATGCCTGCCTCTCTGCCTACTTGTGATCTCTCTCTCTGTTAAAAAAAAAAAAAAAAAAAAAATTCCTTCTTCTTAAGAAGATTTAATTAACAATTCAGAGTGAAAGTCCTGCTTAGTAATTAGACAAGACTCAGTTGTAATTAGCAGCATCTATCTGCCTATGAAAGTTACGGTTAATATATTTTGTTTAATCAAATAACCACAGAATATTTATATTAGGCATGGAACTATTTGCTTAAAAATAGACCTTAATCTATGTATCTTATTATTCTATGTATCTTATTCTTATTCTATGTATCCAGACAGACTGCACGTTTATACAATCTTTCCACCCTTGAGTTAATAACTCAATATGACATTATGACCTAGCAATTGCACTAGGTATTTACCCAAGGGATACAAAAATAGTGATCTGAAGGGGCACATGTACCTCAATGTAAGAGCACTATCCACAATACCCAAAATATGGAAAAAGCCCACATGTCCGTAGACTGATGAATGAATAACGGATATGTGTGTGTGTGTGTGTGCCTGTCTCTCTTTCTATAGATACATTTATAAAATGAAATATTACTCAGCCACAAAAAAAGAATGAAATCTTGCCACTTGCAATGGCATGGATGGAAGTAGAGTGTATTATGCTAAGTGAAATTAGTCAGTGAGAGAAAAATAAATACCCTATGATTTCACTCATATGTCGAATTGAAGAAACAAAACAGATAAACATGGGGGAAGGGAAGGAAAAATAAAATAACAGAAGGAGTCAAACCATAAGAGACTCTTAACTACAGAGAACAAACTGAGGGTTCTTGGAGGGAAGGTGGGTGGGATATGGGATAACTGGGTGATGGGGATTAAGGAGGGAACTTGATGTAATGACCACTGGGTGTTATATATAAGCGATGAATCACTAAATTCTACCCCTGAAACTAATACTATACTATGTGTTAACTAACTAGAATTTAAATAAAACCTTGAAAGAAAAAAAAAAAACCCAATATATTAAAGAGATTACTGGGGACACAAACTTGGCAGGAGTAAAAGCTGTTGTCACTTCATCAAGCAAAGATCACAAATATTTTAGTGTGCTTGCTAAGAGCAAAGCAGGTATGGAATATATTCTGGAAGAAAGAATTTATAAATACCTGTTATGACAATTTGAACAGTTTAAGAAATCAGGATTTATGAGCATATCCTAATGATCTGATGTGAAAAATTACTTGTAAATATTAACCAAATCTTTTGTATTGCTCCTCTCTTCTGTTGTCAAGATCAAGTATGTTAAGAGTGGTTAAAAAAGAATGCAATGTGACATTACAATGAACCTGAAGCCAGGTTTCATAACTAGAGGATTATAAAGGAGAAAATAAAACTTGAGAAAGACTCAAAGTTTTACACTCTTTTATGTGTTTCTTGTATTTGAAAATTAATCATCACCTATAAATCATAACTTAAACTAAGTCCTATTAAGGTACTACCTACTTGTATTTTAAAATGCTATGTTAGTCAGTCTTTTACCTTATCAAAAGGAAATTAATCTTCTCCCCTCCTTCTAGTACTACGTAAGAAAAGGCAAAATTTAAAGTACAGTTTTGAGCAAAAATTTTTGGCAAGCAGGCAGCAATAATACCTTCCAACTGAAATAAAATTAACATGACCAAGAGCAAATATTAAAGTGTCCCCCTGTATAGAGTACTGCACAGGTCCCCTACCCTCAAAAGGCTTAAAGTCTACTAATAATGAGACACACAGATTCAAAGATGAATAATAATACAAGGCCACATCCCACCTGAACAATATTCAAAAGTGCACAAGAACCTTTTAAGATTACCCTCCTCTTCACTAAGTGTTCCTTGTGGCCTACATGCTTCTGCCCTGTCTTAACCAGTCATTTCCCGCTCTCTTTAGACCCAAATAACTACCCTTTCTAATTTTTCCTTTCTCTAGCCCTGTCTTTTCTTTTATTTTGAAATGATTTCAGATTTACAGTTACAAAACATTATCAAGAATTCCTATATATCTTCACCCAGATTGCCTAAATGTTATTATTTTACATTTGCTTTATCTCTATGTATGTATGTATGCATATTATTTAATCTATACTATTATGGACTAAATGTTTGTGTACCCTGAAAATACATGTTGAAACTCCAAGCCCTAAATGTGATGTTATTCAGAGGAAGAGCCTTTGGGAGGTGATTAGGTCATGAGGGTGGAGTCCTCACAAATGGATTTGTATGCTTATAAAAGAGATCCGAGAAAGCTTTCTTCCCCTTCCACCATGTGAAGACACAGCAAGATGACTTCTGAACCAGGTAGGCCCTCACCACACACTGAATCTGCTGGTACCTGTATCTCAGACCTCCTAGCCTCTAGGCCTGTGACAAAGAAATATTTGCTGTTTAAAAAACTCAAGTCTCTGGTATTTTTGTTACAATAGCCTAAATGGACTTATACACACACACACACACACACACACACACACACACACACAGACACACACACACACACACACATATACATACACACACACACACACATAAACAAATACACAAATATGTAAAATTAGTAGTCATATTTAAAAAAATTTTTGAGACTAGTTGAATATATACTGCCCCTTCATCCCTAAGCACTTTAATATGGACTTTACAGAAACAGTGATACTCTCTTATATAACCAATACTAGTTTCGAAATCAGGAAATTAACATTGATTTTATTCATATTTCACTAATTATCCCACTAATGTCCTTTCTGACAACAAATATAATTGTTAAATACATTTTTAATATGTCTACATAATTGTTGCTATGAAGGACATTAGCGGGACAATTTTTATTATTAAATTCACTCATAACATCAAATTTTTTCTTGGTCTAGGATCTGATTCAGGATTACAAATGTACTTAGTTGTCATGTCACTTTAATTTCCTATGATTTGGAATCGTTCCTTTGTCTTTCTACAGTGATCATGACCTTTACATTTTTTAAAAAGAATTATTTAGTTATGTGGAGGGGAGGAGTCTTAAGCAGACTCCACACTGAGTGCAGAGCCTGACGCAAGGCTCCATCCCACGACCCCAAGATCACAATCTGAGCTGAAACCTAGAGGTGGCTGCTTAACTGACCATGCCATCCAGGCACCCCATGATCTTGACATTTTTAAAGAATAGAAGCCACTCATTTTTGTAGGGATGTTCCTCAATTTGGGTTTCTTTGACGTTTTTCCATAATTTAATTCTTTTTCTTAATAGGATTATCACGTAAGTGGTATTGTTAGGTTATATTTTCTTAATAGGATTATCACGTAAGTGGTATTGTAACCCTCTCCTATATCAGGAGTTAAATGATACTTATTTGTCTCCTTACTGTTGATAACTTTGTTCACTTGATTAAGATGGTGTCTATCAGCTTTCTTCAAATAACTGTTTTTTCCTTTTTTAATTAAAAAATTATGTACCTCATTTCTCATAAAATTTCCTCCCAATACTTTGTTATTATTATTATTATTACTATCATGGTTGCCAAATGGCGATTTTCAAACTTCCTCATTCCACTGCCACTCAAAGGTAAAATTCTACTGTTAAGGAAAAGTGTTCCCTTCTCTTTTATCAATCAATCCATCTACCAATCATCCATCCATCCATCTGTCCATCCATCTATTTATATCAGTATGGACTCATGGGTTACTTATACTCTATGGGTTATTCATTACTCTATATTTATATTGACACTTAGAACTGTCCCACATCTGGTTAGTAAAGTTCCCCTTCAAGCTGGCTCTTCAGGCCATCTGAGATCAGTCTAACATTCCTTAATTTTCAATCAACAGTCTTACTTTCTGGCATAGCAGAATGTTCCAAGCTTTTCCTTATACTCTCCTAGCCCTCAACCAGGAGACACCATTTTCCTAAGAAAATGGAAAATGGTATTTAAAAATGATGATCTACGTAGTAGGCATGCTCACTGCTACTCAGCATTATTGCTTCTAGACCCTCTCAACAAATAGAACTTAAGAAATAACACCTGTAATTGTATAGGTACATATACATGCACAGATCCACATCTATTTCTGACTCTTTCTCAATAAAACAGTGAGTTCATTACTGACACTTTCTCCATGCTTTTAAGATGGCCCTAATCCTGTTTTCAAATCCACTCATTTTCTTTATCCGTCATCACAATGGTCTCTGCTCTGGACCAACTCTTTTCTCCCTGTTCCCAGTTACATATTACAGTTCTGACCTACTGCCAAATCTCTAGAAGTGGTTCTCAAACTGCTGCACTTTTTCACTTTTAAATTGTTGCACTTCAGAATTAACCACAGATCTTTTTATAACCAAGGATAATTCATAGGAGACTGTCATATGCAGCCAGACTGAGAACAACTACTCTTGAGTTTCCTCTATCTTGTTTATTCTAGGCCACAAAGAAGGAGGAGAGAAAGTACAGTTGTTAACAGCTGTATCTATGGGGTTAAACATATTAAACACACATGCTGATTCAAGACTTTCCAATCAGTGCTTTCAGACATGCTGGTGCCTTAACACTTTCTCATTTAAGAATGTCCTTAAGTACTTAAGCACTTACAAATTAAATATTAGCTTAGTGAATTAAAATTAAATTCTAGACTGCCAAGAAAATATTTCAGAAGTCTTTTATTTTAGAACCTTTATATCTAGCTATATACACGTTTTCAATTTTGTGGAAACAGAAAAGAAAGTAGAGAACCATTGTTAGCTGTATTCATTTTTGTATATCCCATGCTTGCCCACCTCTGGAACACCTAGGGGTATCTACTGTTGACTGCTTTCCCAACGTTCTCATTTTGAAACACATAAATATTTCTAAGCAGTATTAGTGTGCATGAAGGGATCTTGGTCCCACAACTGAAAACAGAGAGGAATAAAAAGACTACCAGAAAAGAAAATGGACTGCTTTACAGAGGAAGGTCAAAATAACAGACAAAAGAAAGAGTAGAAATTAGTGTCAGGAAAAAGTGGTAGTAGTTATTTGTAATGGTGAAGCACCTAAACGTATGAACCCGGTCTAGCAATTCTCAATATACACTGGTTAGAAAACAATGATTTAACCTATTTAAGAATTAAACGGATTTAAATATTTAGAATATTCTTTACATGTCAATAAATACTGCTCATTTTAAGTACCCACTCACTAAAACAAGTCCAATGATACTCTTCCTTCAAAATACATTGCTAAAAGTCTATGTTTTGCATTACAGCTGAATCAATCACATTGCTTTTAAAGAGTTTACTTATTTATCTGAGAGAGAAAGCATGAGCAGGAGGAGGGACAGGGGCAGATGGAGAAGCAAACTCCCTGCTGAGCAGGGAGATACAGGGGTTGATCCCAAGACCCAAGGATCATGACCGGAGCTGAGGGCAGATGCTTAACCGACTGAGTCATCCAGGTGCCCCAATTACATTTTTTTTAAAAAGCAGATGGTAGTTCAGATTTTTCAATGGTTCAGAAAAACCTCTCTTTCCTCATGTTCAATTGTCTATATTTATAAACTTACCTCATATTAGTCTTTTCTTAGCAAGATGTTAAATCTTCATAAAGTATCTTAGATTTCCTTAGCTAAGAACTAAAATGCCAAATTGAAAACTTAGCCTGGGTTAGGGTATGTCATCTACACTTGGGAAATCCAAGAAAGACTTACACAAAATGGTTGTTAACCAGTAGGAGAATTGCTCCTAAAATACACTATTCCTGGCAGCTGTTACGCTTCATAGCTGTTATATTAACACCTGACAATGACAAGGCTTTTAATGTTAGGAGAAACAGGAATCCACAGAAAATGCTTTGCCTCCAAATCACAATTACTCATGGCTTTTACATTTATATGTTCCAATTTTTTGCGGGTTAGAGAATGTACTACTATGTATGGTGTTTACTGTTAATTATGAGAAATGGAAGACAGTGAATACCCCCTCTGAAGTAACAGGTTCCTCTATACCTTATCATTCCACAACATGAGACCCTTTTCTCTCAAAATTCCAGCTCATACTGCTTCTAAAAGGCAGATGGGGACAAGTTCATCAATCTGAAATTTGCCACAATGGACAACTCAGAAAAGAAGAAAAACATTCCACTGTTACTTTTGAGTATTGGCAGAACAGGCTTGAAAATAAACTTTCCCTACTTCTCATGACCCCGTAGTAGGTAGAGGGAGTAAAGTCCATTTTTATTTGCAAGAATTAGAATGTGGTTTCAAAGGAGATATAAGTTCTTAAGCTGCCTAAGAGGATATGTGTAGAATGTATATATAACTTACCGAAGAACTCAAATTTCTGAGGTACATAAAGATATATAATTCTTTTTACTACTTCAATTTCAAGTTTGAAACGGTATAAACAGACCTATAAAGGGCATGGGTATTAGATATTATACCAACAGAAGCCGACCGATGGAAGCTACTGAAGAGCAGGATTTCTAACGTTAAGTTGAACAATGTTATTAGCTCCCCTGTATGTTTCAAGGTATTCAAAATTATTGAAGTTATTAGCAGAAAAAAATTTGGTCTTAAGTACTATTAAGGCACACTCAATTAAATCTAATTTGCGCATTACCTTTCGAGTTTGCATTTTCTCTGTTCTCCTCCGAAAGGCAACATAAGGGTCATTGTTGGTAGAGCCGTCTCTTTTCTCTTGTTTTATCTGAGGAATGAGGGATGGCCCCCTGCAGTTTTTACGTTTTCTTACCCAGTAGTCATACACAGCTTTAATAAGGTAATCATCTTCATTTAGCAGCAGTTTTGCTTCCTGAAGTGTTACAAGCTAAATGAAAAATACAAATTGTCATCAGCCATAAGGTTTGAAAAAGAGAAATCAAAGTTAAGCTATATATACCTATAGAAAAAAATGTCATCAGTCTAACAATTATGATCAGACATCATGATGGCAGAAAACACAATTCAATTTTGAAATTTTATAAAGGATTTATTAGTAAAAAGATTTATCTAAAAAATTATATTTTGCTCTGAGAGACACTAAGTACCACAACTTATAATATTTAAGAAGCCTAAATGAACAACAGTTGAGAAGATTTATGCCTCAGTTAAGTCTGTTGTTATGTCTGGAACAGTGATCCTAGGATGGTTCCTCTAGGAACTGTCACACTGGTATTTTAGGGATCCACTTCTTTATCAATGCAGTCCATATAAAGTTGACGTATCTTAAACTAAGGTTTGGAAAAATTTGCTTGGTCATATCTATTTCTTTACTGCTGGTAAAGATAAAATAGATTGATCAGCTTTAGCGGAATGAATTATGGGTTAATCACATCCATCTACAGTGAACTCTAGAAAAAGATAATGGGAGCTTTAAGAATCCAGTTTTAAGACTGGAAAACATCAGTGAAGGGCATCCCAATCTTTTTACTTTTATCATTTTGGAGATGAAGATTTGTTTTAAAACAAATTGAGATATCTCCTAAGAAATGTTTTCCTAAAACTTGAAAATGAAGGGGGAAACTTTCTTTCTGAAACTGTAAGATCAATATAGGAATTGATCTGATGGTTGTTATGAAGTCAACTGAAGATAGCATGACCCACCAAATAAATCTGCTTTCTCATACTGGTATAATTTCATGGAATAAACGCAATGGTCATTGGACTTCCAGTCCTATGATGGTGATTACCAGGGCTAATTAGTTGGTTTCTTATTATAATTTGGCTGGCAAGACTGGCCACAGGAAGAGAATATACTGACAATGACAATGCAAGTATTCTAGTCCATGTAATGATTACATTTAGTGCAATAAAATTTTATGTGGCCACAGTTTGGCTTAATCAATGTCTCAGTGAAGTCATATTAAATTCATCTGAATGGCTGAGTAACCTGGGTCTTTAAAGTGGTGGGCCAGAGCCTGGAACAAGATATCAAACCGAAAGAACTAATACTTCCAAACATCAACTTTAAACGGGCACCTTTGTTAGCTGAAGTTCTCTGGAATAGATCAAGGTCTATACGGTGCCAGTGGTAGAGTAAGAACCAAGCTTTCTGGATCTAACAAAATTCGACCTCATGCTTACAGCATCGTAACATCACTGGGAGCTTTTTTGTGCCCTGGGAACCAAGGGAAACAATGCTGTGATATGCTACACATCTTCAACTGTTTGGACATTCTGCTTCTGATAAAATGTAACCTTCACTAGTGATATCAAGAACGTACTTTAGAGTGGGGAGGAGGATAGGTTTCTTCCTATCAAGCCATAGAGCAGTAGTGAGATTCTTACATAATACTATCAGGATATTTTCCCTGCAGGAGATGTAAGGGGATTAAAACACTGCCTCAGATTTCCTTCTCTGGTGCTTTTTGCTCCTTCTACAAAGGTCCTTCTGCTTGGTTGATAAGTACTCTCTTTATATCTCAGATAATAAGAATTCAGTACACTGTTTACAATTAAACATCCTGACACTTCTTTCCAATGTTAACCATATTTCTCAGTTTACTGATGTTTTTATGTTGCTATACAGTAAATTTTTATTTTACTGAGTAATTGAGTTTTAATCATTCTGTTAAAATTATCTTTAGCTATTCTAAGGCAATTAGTATCACTTGTATCGTTATCATCATGCTGATAGCATCAATTTGAGTGGTAAGAACTAGTTGTAGATAAAGTTGTCCCAAATTATTAGGACACAATTAAAAATCCACAAAATCAGAATCCTACTACTTTTCTATCTTAAGAAAAAAGTTCTGCCATTCAGCACTTTCTCTACTAGAAAACAGTGGAAACCAGTATTTACTTGACAAAAAGGTCAGTGATAAAATTTATTATTTCCAAGATACCTCTGAGTTGTTTGATTTACTTACTTTGGGGGCTTGGAGAAGAGATAAAAATTATTCCACTAGCTGGACTTTTCTTCTAGATTGCCACTAGCTTCATGAGGACAAGGATCACTTAGTTTGTTTACATACAGATTCATGGTTCAGCAATTTCAAGAAATACATTTATAATACATAAATGAATAAACTATGTATAAAAAAGTAATGTTTTAAAAATATAGTCAGTAAAGCAATAAACAATTAATAATCAACTACTATCAGTCTATCATTGTGTTACACAGGTTGTGGGGAAATTAGGGAAAAAAATTTCAAGATAAAACTACCACCAACAGAAACTCAGAATATGACAATCAAGGCAAGACAAATACAATTTAAACAATGAGAGAACAATGTCAGAACTTTAGAACTCAGTATTAGTGCATTAAGATACAGGACAGAACCACAAAATACTCCATCTGGGAGTGCTTGAGTTGGTTGCTTAAGAGACAAGTATAATTTCTGAGGACAGATATTGAAGAAAAGAGCAACAAGAGGTAGAAGAGGAGGAGATGAAGAAAGAAGAAGAAAAGATTCGAGAAACGTGGAGGTCAACAGCATCCACTACTATGGGGATATTTAGTAGGATATGGGCTGAAATGAATGGATGATAATGAGAAGGCCATTGGTGACCTGGGTGCAATCAGTCTACTGAAATGCACCGGAGTAGAGAAAAACGTTAAACAGCATGTCTAACCTTTTTAAAATGTAACTGACAGGGAGAAAAAAAAAGGAGAGACAAAGGGTGGTAATTTATAGAGAAAGATGGAGTCAAATGAAAGGGTTCTCTTGGAAAAAGGGACCCTTGGCATATTTTTGGGCAAAGAGAGAATGAAGAAATGAGAGAAGAGATAATTAAAGATGAAACATGCAAGGAATATACTGGTGCACGAGGAAGAGTTAAAATTAAAATTTAGGGACTGAAGGAAAAGGGATAAAAAAACACATCATTGTGAATTTTGGGAGTCACTGTAGTTAACTCTCTTAACTACACATGATACAGGATCATGTATAGTTAAGAGAGTTAAGGAAAAAAAAAAAGAAAAGTAAACTTGAGAGGTCTGTGGACCACCTAGGTGGAGATGCCAACAGGAAGCACATAAAGAGAAAAATGTCCTGGAGTTTGAGAAGGAGGTCAAGTGTAAGGATATACGTATTATTACCCTCACAAAAATCCTTGCTAAGGGGATATTAACCCCAAACACACAGGATAAGACGACCAAGGACAGAATTTCAACAAACTCTGATGTTTACAGAAATTAATGGAAGGATTCAGTAAAAGACAATTACGAGGAACGATCACAGAAAATAATTTAAAAAATCAGAAAAGAATAAAGTATATTCAAAAGACCAAAGGTGATGAGTTCAAAGAAATGAGGAGAGCTCAATTAAAATAAATGAATGGGGACTATACAATGATAGTATTTGGCTGTGGTCAGTCTGATCAGTCTGTTTTTATGTCTTCTCTATCAACCTAATAAATATTGCTTTAACCACAAACTTGATTTCTTGCTTTGAGATCTGCTACTATGTCAGCTGCAAAAAAGGAAAAATAAAGAAACCCAGGAATCCATAGTTCAGGCAATTAGAATGACAATAGTCTTTAGTATCTTTAATCCTTAGTCCTAATAACAGGACCATTATCTTGTCCCTAAAATGAACCTCCACCTTTGTCTACACTGCTGAAAGCAGGTGCTATCATGCTGAGCCTACCAGGCTTTAGGGTTTAAAGCCTGTCACTGAGGGAAGAGAAATAAAATAGGTATTTTACTGATTATACATAGATCGTTAATTGTATTGTTCACAAATGCTTTTTGTTTATCCTGTCCCCACTTAGATAATAAGCTCCCTAAGGGCAGAACTTCTGTCATCTCTCTTGTTCACCCAAGTACTAAATAATTATTACTTACAGAAATGAAATAAAGCAAATTACAGAACAGAGAGCTGAAGGCTTCACCACCAGTAATTTCTGAGCAATCAGGGAAAATAACAGAAATACCAAAATAAAGACTAAACTTAGGACTGCTATAAAAGTTTGCATATTAAGAAGAAAAATGAAGAAAAATGAAATCATGCCTAATGCCTGTGATCAAAATCTCAGGAAAACTGCACTAATAATATTTTTGATACTCAATCTGATAATTAAAATAAATTTGCAATAAAAAAAGGCAATCTCTCAAAAACCAAGTTGAATTTTACAAAATTCAGTTTTCAATGTACTTCTTTTGATTGCACATCAAATATTACTTTCCATCCAAATGGGGGAAAAAGATTAGTAGAAAGGCGAAATATGCAGCAAAGTCCTCTCAAAATAGAAAAGTTTTTTAAAATGTTCTGAAGAGCTGGTAATGCTTCAAGGATTTAAAGGACTTAACTTGGGAGGTAAAGGAAAATGACGAATTTGTAATGGGTAAACTAGTGAAAAGTGTGTAAGAGTCTACTGTAAAACATTTATTTATTTCTGTAACTTACTAATTAATAACGATATATTAATACACCACACAGGTACACCAAGAAGTTATTTTAAAAAGTAGTTTATTTTTTAAATCCAATTACAATATCTATACATGTACATAACAGTAAATTAGCGAAAGAACATAAAAATCACCAATAATTCTATCACCTAAATAGAATCATTACTGGTATTTTGTTGGGCTTTCTTCATCTTTTATTTCAATAAAGAACATAAAAATCACCAATAATTCTATCACCTAAATAGAATCATTACTGGTATTTTGTTGGGCTTTCTTCATCTTTTATTCAATGCACACATATAAATATAAATGCTTTAAATGAATCTCAGAGATTTGTACTTAAACAATTCTGTATCCTTTTTTTGAACTCTAACATTATATAATGAGCAATTTCCACTGATATTCAAAATGGTTTTTAATGGCTGTGTGATATTCCACCCTACAGACAAGTTATTATGAACACCCTTGTTCAAAATCTTTGACATTTTCACTAATTTTTTTGAGAATGATTCCTAGAGGCAGGATTACTAAACCAAAGGTACAAACATTTTAAGGTTCCTGACATATGTTGTCTAATTGCTTTCCAAAGAGACTATACCATTTTCAGTTCTCTATATATTTAGATAGTCCACTAAAGAAAATCATCTCCTTGTGAAAAATTTTTTTCTTCACTTAAAAATTTTAAATAATATGTAAGTAAAATTAAAAATACATCTAAAATGATAATGAGTACCTTAATAAACGTGAGCAACTAAGAAGGATTTGGTATGAGTTATCTGCCTTAGAGATACAACCAAGCAAATTTAGCCTTTGAAAAGGATCAAGATGTTGTATAGCATTGCAGCTAGTATTATTTTTATATCCAAACAAGAAGAAAGGTCAGAATAGTACTCTTCATATTCCTATTCAAAGAAATTATGCTTAAGTATTCAGTTCAAGAAATACTGTATATAGAAATTCTAGGAAAATTCAAAAGGCAGTATAATACAAAACACTCAGGTCTAAAGAAAATGCAAAATAAAGTTGCTAACTGGATTAATTTTAAGAGAAGAGACATTTTTACAAGGTACAGTACCTGATTAGAACTGGCTTTTTCAAGTCTGTCAATCATAATTTCAAATTGCAAAGGCTTAATTTCCATCTTTCTGTTAAGTCTATTTAATAAGGTCTCATCTTCTGAATCCATATCATAATCTGGTTGCTCGTTGTCTAGATTAAAGGCTAGAAAAGAAAAGAAAAATTCTTCAAACTGAGGAGAAATTATGGAGTTATATAGTGTTTATATCTGACCACAGAATACTTCCAAATTACAATGAACTGACCAAAGAGTTGCTCATGAGCTGACATCTAAAAACTGGTTCCTGAGTACACGGGAAACTAATGTAACATACACTCTGCACAAACTATTGTGTAAAAAATTAATAATAAAAAATTTAAATTGGTTTCAGAGACTAAAAGCACAGTGGAAGAAAAAATCTTAATTCATATATGACTTAAAGTATAATAGAATAGTAAAAGCAATAACTAAGATTAATTTATTTTAAAAATAAAGGATCACAACAACTACTAAATGGGAAAAAATATTTGCAAATGACATATCTGATAAAGGGTTAGTATTCAAAAGATATAAATAACTTATACAACTCAACAACAAAAAAACAAATAATCCAACTAAAAAACAGGCAGCGGGGCACCTGGGTGGCTCAATGGGTAAAAGCCTCTGCCTTTGGCTCAGGTCATGATCCCAGGGTCCTGGGATTGAGTCCCACCATCAGGCTCTCAGCTCAGCAGGGAGCCTGCTTCTCCATCTCTCTCTGCCTGCCTCTCTGCCTACTTGTGATCTCTGTCTGTCAAATAAATAAGTAAAATCTTAAAAAAAAAAACAAAACAGGCAGAAGATATGAATAGACATTTTTCAAAAGGCATACAGACAGCAAACAGATACATGAAAAGATGCTCAACATCACTCACCACCTCGCAAATGCAAGTCAAAACTATAAATATATCACTTCACACCTGTCAGAATGGCTAAAATAAAAAACTCAAACAATAAGTGTTGGTGAGGATGTGGAAAAAAAGGAACCATCTTGCACTTGGTGGGAATGCAAACTGCTGCAGCCACTGTGGAATATGGAGGTTTCTTAAAAAGTTAAAAACAGAACCACAATATACTACTACCCACTACTGGGTATCTATCCAAAAAATTAAAAAAACACTAATTCATAGGGATATATGCACACCTATGTTATTGCAGCATTATTTAAAACAGCCAAACTATGGAAGCAGCCCAAGTATCCACCAAAGATGAATGGATAAAGAAAATATGGTACACATACAATGGAATATTATTCAGTCATAAAAAGAAATCTTGTCATTTGTAATGACATGCATGGAGCTAGAGAGTAAAATGCTAAGTGCAATACCAGTCAAAGAAAGACAAATACCATATGACTTTATGCATACATAGAATTTAAGAAAGAAAACAAAGGAAAAAAGAAAAGAGAACGACAAACCAGAAACCAGGCTCTTAACTAAAGAGAACAGATTACCAGAGGGGCAGTGGGGGAAGGAGGCGGGGGAGAGGCGTAATAGGTGAAGGGGATTAATTGTAGACTTACTCTGATGAAAAGTGAGCAATATACCCAATTGCTGAATCTCTGTATTATGCACCTGAAACTAATATAATGCTATATATTAACTAAACTGGAATTAAAACAAAAAAATTAAAAATAAATACTTTTCACTAATAGAAAAAAATAAAGCTTCACAAATTATATGCCCAAACAGTAGCAATTATTTAAAAAAAAAAAAAAAAAAAAAGATGGTATGGATTTGTCAACATGGTAGTTTGGTAACGTAGTGAGAAGCTACAGAAGAAAATTAAGACTCTAGAAACAAGGGCACCTGGCTGGTTCAGTCAGAAAATTATGAGACTCTTGATCTTGGGGTCATGAGTTCTAGTCCCATGCTCGTGTAGAGATTACTTAAACCAAATCTTAAAAAAAAAGAGAGAGAAAAGAAAAGAAAGAAAGAAAGAAAGAAAAAAGACTCTAGAAATAAACTCAAGTACAAAGAATGAAATGGCATTTCAAAACACTGAGGATAAAGTAGATTATTTAAAAAGGGTCCCACTTACTAGTTATCTTTAAAAAACTTAACCTGGAATTCTACCTTATTCCTAATACCAATAAATGATATATTTAACAAAATTTCATAGTAAAAAATAAAACAAAAAAATGCTAGAAGAAAATGCAAGGGGAAAATGTATGGGTGGATACAAGCTCAGAAGCCATAAAACTGATTAAATACATGGAAACACAAAAACAAGATATGTTTCACTTATCAAATAGACTAAAATCTAAAACTTGGTGATATACTATTTTGGAGTGAATGGGGGACTGAAGAGGAAATTAAAGCTGTTTTTTTGTTCAATTAAAAACACATACTCTTGGACTTGTCAATTCTATTTCTAGGAATTTATCCTCTACACCCACATAGAGAAAAAAATAAAATATACAAGAGTGTAAGATGTGACACTGTAAGAAGTAAAAAATATAAAACAAGCAATGTATGTGGGAACAGAAAAACACAATGGTTTGTACATACATGCAGTAGATGGAAGCCCTGAAAATGAATGACAACAATGTATGTATACTAATATGGAAAGAAACCAATCTTAACAGGCAAGAAAAGCTAAGGTACAGAATAGTGTACATGTGTACTTACACATATTTTAAAAATATAGAGTATGTATGTATACATAGATACATACTCTTATAAACGCATAGCATTTTTTTAAGGATTTATAAATTTATTTGAGAGAGAGAGAGCAAGCATGAATGGCAGAGACAGAGAGGAAGAGAGAATCTCAGGCAGATTCCATGCTGAGTGCAGAGTTTGAAGCAGGACCTGGAGGTCAGGACCTCACAATCCTGGAGGTCAGGACCCCAGCGGGAAGCAGGAATCTGATGCTCAACCAACTGGACCACCCATATGCGCCCAGAATATATTTTTTTTAAAGATATTATTTATTTATTGGACAGAGAGAGAGAGAAAGCACAAGCAGGAGAGAGGGGCAGAGGGAGAAGGAGAAGCAGGCTCCCCACAGAGCAGGGAGCCTGATGTGCAGCTTGATCCCAGGACCCTGTGATCACGACCTGAGCCGAAGGCAGATGCTTAACCAACTTAGCCACCCAGGCGCCCCAGAATGTATTTTTTATATAGTAAACAAAGATATGTTTTTACAAGGGTAAGGAGAACACACACATACACACATATGCTCTCTTATAATCACACAGAGTATTTTTGGAAGGATACACAAGCAAGTGGTAACAGCTTTCCACTTCTGGGAGGGAGATTGTATAGGTAGAGAAGTGAGTGTAATCTGCTGTTTGAATATACAAGGCATTTACAAGGTGACTGGATATAGCTTAGAGAATTTATAAAACAGAGGTGGTCTAAAATTAGCTGATAAAGCACATATTACTTCTTGCTAAAGGTACCTTTCAAAGTCCCTTATATTACCTTTTACTTGGATATATTCATATTCAAGTATCCAACAGGCATAGCTATGCAGTAGAATGAAAATACAAAGAACCCAGAAGAAGAAATAATGCAAGAAAACTTCCCAGAGCCAAAAAATGACAAGTTTTCAGTTTAAAAGGGTTTACTGCTTATGGCAGCATTATCAACAAAAGCCAAACTATGGAAAGAGCCCAAATGCCCACTGACTGATGAATGGATAAAGATGATGTATACGTAACACATATATGTGTGTATATATACACACACATATATGTGCACAATGAAATACTACTCAGCCATCAAAAAGAATGATATCTTGCCATTTGTAATGACATGGGAAGAGCTAGAGTGTATTACACCAAGCAAAATAAGTCAATCAGAAAAAGAAAAATACCATATGATTTCACTCATGTGGAATCTAAAAAACAAAACTGATGAACATACGGGAGAGTGAAAAAAAAAAGAGAGGGAGAGGGAAACATAACATGAGAGCCTCATAACTATAAGAACAAACTGATGGGGCACCTGGGTGGCTCAGTTGGTTAAGTGACTGCCTTTGATCCCAGAGTCCTGGGATTGAGTCCTGCGGGGGCTCTCTGCTCAGTGGTGAGTCTGCTTCCCTCTGACCAGGCCCCCATGCTTTCTCTCTCTCTCTCTCTCTCTCATAAACAGAATCTTTAAAAAAAAAAAAAAAGGAACAAATTGAGGGCTGATGGAGGGAGATGAGTGGAGGATGGGATAGATGGGTGATGGGTATTAAGGAGGGCACTTGTTACGATAAGCACTGGGTATTTTATGTAAACGATGAACCGAATTCTACTCCTGAAACCAATACTGAACTGTAGGTCTACTAACTGGAATATAAGCTTAAAAAAAAGGGTAGGGGGGCGCCTGGGTGGCTCAGCGGGTTAAGCCTCTGCCTTTTGTTCCAATCATGATCTCAGGGTCCTGGGATGGAGCCCCACATCAGGCTCTCTGCTCAACGTGGAGCCTGCTTCCCCCTCTCTCTGCCTGCCTCTCTGCCTGTGATCTCTCTCTCTGTCAAAAAATAAAAATCTAAAAAAGAAAAATGGGTTTACTGATCATGGTTCAAAATGAGTGGTATGCAATTAAATGTGGCACAATGATGGGCTAGTTACTGCCCATTACTTATTATGAATATGAGTATTATTACTACATAATATTATGCCCATTATATGCTATGTGTTAAGGGGAAATATAGGATCCCCACATTTCCACTCAAATCTTCAGTAAGGAAAACTACAGGAGGAATACTTTCAGCTTCTCTCCATCCCTTCACTCTCTCCTCAGCTAAGAAAGGAGTGACTTAAACTGAATGGTGAACTTTGGATGCATAGTATCTTATGGTTTTTCCTTCTTTTGAAGATGTGCATTCTAATCAGCCCTCTACTACGTGGCAAGCATGGAGGCTGATTCTGCCCTTGTTTGGGGAGACCTGCTTTGTCCCAAACCAGGGCCCAGCCAGTGGTGGGGTAAGCTTGCCTAATTCAGGAGTTAAGTATGAGAAACTCCACTGGGGTCATATATCTGTGTCTTGTCTTCCCACACCATTTTTATTAGTAACAAAACTGAAATTTTATGTGTCTATGTCTGTTTCTCAATTAGTTCCAAAACAGAAAAGAAAAAAGGATGTTACGTTTTGCCCTCCTAAGCAAAATTTGCAGGCTACAGTCAAC